AATCAGAGAAACACCGACGCTGAGGTTCTTGCTCATGCGGCTCAGTTGATTGATCGCTATCACCATGTTGCCATCACGGATGAACGCGATTATCAGCTAGTTGGGGCTACCTGTTTTCTACTTGCCAGCAAACTGAAAGAAGCAATACCGGTGTTTATTGATACGCTAATACAACACATGGGTTTCTCTTTTAATAAATTCGACGTCTTAGTAAGTGCCAGTCCTAATTCGATCTATTGTCATTCTTTTAATTCTACCTTATGACGGAGTGTTACTTCTGTTTATTTTGTTTTAGAAAATGGAGATGATAATTGCACTCGAGTTAGATTGAGACCTGCACTGTATAACACCAATTGACTTTATTCATCCAATAACCAGTTTCTTCACTTGTGCATCTGGATTGAGGCAGCTCATAAGGCAATCTGCGAAGCAGGTTTTTAAGAAGATTCTCCATAGTTAGTGCGACTTATGATGCTTGGTTGTTTGTGTGGCCATTTTGTTGACTTCGCTTTTTTCTAGTTGAAGGGGTAAATTTGTTTCGACCTTCGTGCATTGCAGCGGCATGTATTCTGTATGCTGTGAGACCAACTGGGGCTCTTGACGCAGATAGTTTTGCATCGGAAATAAGGTCACAAATGGAGAGCTTGCTTGGACTGGAGTCGGTAAGTTCATGGGTTAAATGGCGGTGAGATCTTGACTGCAACCGGGATGTATTGGTGAGGGGCGAACTTGAATGGACTGCATCTAGTTTGTTAGAATTTACGCAAAGCCGTGTGTTTCAGAACCTAATGCTATAGAGCTTTGTTTTAGGCGAAACTGCAGTATGCGTATTTCTTCATCTCCACAATATTGAAGCGTGATATTGTGGAGTTATCGGACGCGGTACCGAGCGATGACCAGGAACCGTCGAGTGATTCTCCGGAGTTGCCAAGTCAGAGTCCGTCTTAGTTTATCGGGACGTTCCTTTAGCAGCGACTGCTTATTTTGATGCTCTGTCTTTCATAACAAACACCCACGCACACACACTTGACATCTCTGACTGTTTTTCACTGTTTTTTGCAATCTGTACATTGTTTTAGCATACATGGTGCTCTGTGGATGTGTCAGTGTCTTTCTCGTGAACATGTTTTTGCCAGATGTGCCAAATCAATCGGGTTGCTTTACTACAGTTCTTGTCTTCTGCTTCGTTTCATTAGTAAGGGGTTTGCTTGGTGAACCGTCTGTCGACTGTGTGCATAGTCAGGGCTGAAGGAATCCAGCGATTGGTGTCATGGGAGTGAAGTGGTCTGTGTAGAGGGGGTCGCATTTTGTAATCTGCCACACTGGGCAAAGTAATGGGGGTAAAAGGGTAATTTGGTTGATTGATAATGTATACTATAATAACTTATGTCATTGATAAATGAGGTGGTTTTGTCTGTGGTGGCATCTGGTCCTTCTACGTCTGATATATATTCATTTGTAAAGGTAGGCGACTGCATTTAGACACAATCAATCAAGACTAGCCTTAATTGCCATCTTCCGTGCCTTGCCTTGTCTAACGGATGCTCGCTTATTGTCATAGATTCTGGAATCCAGTTGGTTTGTACAAAGTATGTTCCTGGCTCATTCCGAGTCCATTGCAATTATTCTGCCCCTAAACTGACACTCAACTGCATTGAGTGGCTCTACGGGGTCGCAAACATGATAGTTTACAACCCAAATCTAATTTGGATCGGTGTCTTTAATCGGATGTGATTGGTACTCTAGTGCTATTTGCATGGCTTTGACGGCCGATGTTGTCATTCTATTTCTTGCCCTCACGACATCATTCACAGCTTGGTCAGTAAGTGTGTGCTGGTACGTCGTGTCTACATCGTGGTAAGGAACGCTTGATATCCATCTGTGATTGAACAGCGCAACGTTGAATGTGTTCAGGACGATCCACTGGATCCCTGTTCTCGTGCTAAAACTGTCAGCTGGCCGATTGCC